TTATTTAACATATTTTGGAATGTCCAAGGACTTATTTGTTCCAAAAAATTGTCCAAGAACTTATTTAACATGTTTTAAAATGTCTAAAAACTTATTTATTCCAAAAAAAAGTCTAAAGGCTTAATCATTCCAAACAAAAAAGTCCATTAATTTTTATTGTAATTTTCCCTATAATTTTATGTGATGTAACTTTCTTTTTGGAAAAAGCCCATCGACGCTCATCAAAGAACAAAAAGGCCCATCGTCTGAGATCTACTCCGCCGTACTCTGGACGTTCATATTTTCCGGTAGAAGAAAAACCAGGAGACATACTCAATTTCTCTTCCACAAATTACTCGGAATTAATGTACATCAATTTCATTATTTGAGCCCTAAGTCAAATTTACGATCTCAATTTACACTAACAGTCTCCGGTTGTCATGAGTTCTTCGGCAGTAAGGCCCCCTTCGCTGATAATTTTGGTTCTTGTTTATTATTATTATTCTTCTTTTTTCTTTCTTGATGTTGAAATTGCATGCACATTTAGATAAATGTCCAATAGTATTCGACATTCTTCTGTAGAATTGAGAATTTACTTGCGTAATATGATGATTGATTTTTGTTTATGATAATTGGATTAGGGTCCGAGCCTGTTTGCGGGAATTACAAAGCTATGTAAAGGTCTAGCGGCAGTTCTTGTTTTTGGACACATTGCTGTTCAGGTCTTCCCTTCTGCCGTTACTTATGTTGCACTTATTCCTGCCAGGTAACGTTGAACTTACTTTTTCTGGGCAAAAAAAAGTAAATGTTGAGCTTACTTTTACCATAATGTAGTGGCATTTGGTTTTGATGCTTTCATGATGCTAATATTCATTGTAGCTTCTGGAAATGCATATTTGTGTTTGATTCAAAGTTGCATATACAGGGTTGTGAGAAGGGAAGTTATGGCGAGAACTGTAAGAAGAGATCTCCACCTTTTGATCAATCCTTAATTGAATATCAACACTAATGAGGTGCACCGAGATGCAATAGATCAATTCCCTTCTAAAGTACAATTCATAGGTGATTAAAAGTGATCAAGGGTTTAGAGATATCTTCTTCCGCTTCTCACCATAACTTCCTTTCTCGCACATCCTTCGCCTATATATATATATATATATATATATATATATATATATATATATATATATAACGTGGTTCTGGAGGCAGTAGGGATTTGCAAAACTCACCAAAACAATGAACATTTGAAGAGTACAAGCCTTTGTCCATCGGATTGGTACATTATTAGTGTTTCAAATGGATAGTTCATAGCCTTTTTCAAATTATTGTGGTATGAACGTACAAAGTTTGAATGTGAGTCGGGTGCATGTTATCTTGCATTTGCACCCACATACTCTTGACATATTTCCTTCATGTTATTCATGACAGGACAATTCCTTTTGGCTGGAACCTCTTAACAGCTGGTTATATTGAACAAACCGTTCACGGGGTACACACCTTTTTGGATATGTATTTGTAGCTATCTACATTTGAGGGCAACAAATCATTTATAAACAATATATGCAGAATGCTCCATGACATTTGTTTCCCAGGTTCTTATTAGCACAGTCAGTCTCCTTTTCATTGGGAAGCTGCTTGAACCCATCTGGGGTTCTGGAGAGTTCTTGAAGTTTATCTTTGTTGTCAATTTTTTGACTTCTGTGTGTGTATTCATCATGGCCATTGTCTTGTATTACATAACAATGGAGGAAGTTTATCTGTAAGTAATACAAAAGCCCTTTCATCCCACTTTGCCATTGTGTGTATGCATTTTTGTTCCTTTCAAGCCTTCATTTCTCATGCACACTTTATGTAATTTCAGCACTTATGTGTTAATTCTATATTTGGTTTCTCTTTTTACACTTTCCAATGCAGCAATTCCTTACTGAGGTTTATGTGAAAGCTAGGGATTTTCGTGTGTAT